ACTGGCTGCGGTTCTGGTTGCTCTTGTCGCTGTCGCTGTCGCTGTGGCGGCAACATGTAAAAGTAATTGCCAACCCGGATGCTGACTGACTGACTCGAATGCTGCTGCTGCATTGGCTAGCTCTCTGGGTGCCTCTTCGCATGCGTTTGTGTGTGTTGCTGTGCCACATGAAAGCCAGAAATTAGAAACGGATCTGAAATTAGAAATGCCTCAGACCCGAACGCAGTGGCGGCTCTCCAGTTTTCCTCCTTCTCGTTGTATTTGTCGTCACGATGTTTGGCACTTGTTCCCTGCTGCCACATCATGCAGCATCGAGCTCTCTCTCTCTCTCCTGCTGCCGTATGTCTGTTGCCATTGCTGCCACACACTTGGCATGCTGCCCCATATACTGTGGCGTGGGCGTGGGCGTCAATTGTTGGCAACTCTTGCATTTTATGCATTCAGAAATTGGCAATAAACGTTTGCCAAAACTTTGTCTGCAGTCCCACCACCCCCCGAGAGGGCTACTCCCTGCTCCCTGCTCCCTGCCCCAGCCAGTGGACAGCTCGAAGCAGCTCCAAGTCTGCCGCCATATAATCTTTTACACCAGCATTAAAAACTCACTTTGCCGGAGCCAGAGAACGACAAGTGGAGGAGGGAGGAGGGAGGAGGTGGTACTCTGACATGCCCCATGCTCCAGTCTACAGTGGAGCTCCTCCGACAACTCCACTGACAACTCAACTTGGGACTGACGCTGAAGCTGTGGCCGGCACTCGCTTTTGGGCGATATCAAACTCGTGTGCTGGAGGTACGAGGAACGCCCACTGACTGGCGGACTAGCTGGCTCTCTGAGGTGGCAGCAGACTAGAGTTTGGCTCTGGCATCACTCAAGCGTCAAAGCGCTCGCAGTTAACTGGAAAAACGTTGCCCAAGTTAAGACCTTCCCCCTGCACCCCCCCGTGTGTTCGCTGCGTCTTCTGCTGCTGCTGTTAGTAGGTCAGAAGTTCTGCGAGAGAGTCGCGGAGTGTAACGCCTTCCGCTCCTACGGCTGGAGCACCCATGAAGTGGGGGGAGCCGCAACGTGACTTTGTCTCTTTCGCTGGGATATTTTATTGCCGTCTGTCAGGGACGGAGCGACAGTCCCGTGCAAACCAGACTGTTGTTTGCTTTCATTTTTACGTACGAGAGAGAATATGCGGCATGCGGAAAGCAAACAACTGCGATTTTAATGTCGGGTGAATGTCATGTTCTTCACTGTCTCCAACCCAGTCCAGCACCATCGCCATCGCCATCGCCATCTCCATTCACATTGCTCTATTGCCTGCCACTGGTTTTCATTTAACGAGTTTGAGTACGACAGCGGGTGCGGCGTATCTGAGTATCTTACTGAGTACACACTGTGTAGCCACAAAGCGAAAGCCTTCTTCTGTCGCCGTGTCATGAAATTTAATAGAACACCTCACGCCGATCTCTCTCTCTCTCTCTCTGTCTCTCTCTTTGCACACACATAGGGCCAAATGGACAGATTTCTGAAAGGAATTAGAAAAGTTTCCCAGCCCAACAGATTTGGTCAAACTTTAGCCAAAATGTCTACCAAAACTCGAACAAAATAACAACAAAAGACCGCAAGACAATGAGGGAACAGAAAAGAAGTTGCGATTACAAATCAGAACAGAGAACAGAACAAAACAAAACAGAGAGGAGAACAGAACAGAGCGGCAAAAGTTGAAAAGCGCGCTGTAATTATGCCTTCGCTTTGGGTTCGGGTTCAGAAGGTGGTGCCGGGTGGATGGTGGAGGGGCAGTGGGAGAGCTTTGATTGAAACTTGAAAATGGGTTTTGTACAGCCATTCATCCATCTTTCCATCTATCCATCCATCGTCCAGCAGCAGCTGCAGCTGTAACCCGAAAAATTCGCCTTGTCAGTGGGCCACCAAATCGCAGAAACATTTCTGTTACAGGAAAAAAAAAAAAAGGAGGCCTGCTCTAAGTTTCCTCCCTCAGCAGCCACTCTGCGAGGAATTGTGCCAATTGCTAATATGTTTTTCCAGCTAATTATTTTCATTTGCTGTGGGGCCCCCTCGCGGTGATTGCCTCATTTTCCACACTTAATTACATAAGTCTCAGTGTGCAGCGAAAGGAAAACTCTGAAATTGAAGCTAAATAAGAGAGGGATGGAGAGAGAGAGAGAGAGAGAGGGGTAGACAAATGAATTAAATAAATTATTAAATATTCATGTACATTTGAGTGAAGGCGAATTTCGCTTTCATTGTTTCCATCGTTCGCTTTTAATTAGAGTTTCCCCCTTCCCTTCCCTTCCCCCTCATAGTTGCGAGCGGGAGAGGTCTCTCCAGGGGGGTGGGAATTGTTTATAAATAAAATAAGATTTCCCCCCTAAACTTTGAAGAGGTCCCCGGGCGGCGTCATCTTTTGGTCTCTAATTGGTCCACGGGCGCGGCAGCCGCTTTTACGAGTCTTCTTTCTGCCGCTGCCCCTTTTACGACACGACAACGTGGACTACGAACGAGGGTATTTCCCTTTCACAGAGGCTTTTCCAGCTCAGAGGCTGCCAGCTCCGAGAAGGACACCCTGCGGAGTGATCGTATGACTAGGGCGAATGGCAGCTGTCACGCGAACTATGGATGCTCTTTCTGTTGTTGTTCTCTCTGCTGCTTGCTGTTGTTCGCGGAAGGCCCGGATGTGGGAGGCTCTGGCGATAAAAACGCTCCAATCTGAGTAATGAAGCTGCCTTTGTCGTTGGGCTCTGTCACTCTTGCTGTCGTTGTTTGCTGTTGCTGCCTTTCCCGGCCGCTTTCCGCCCTGCTATCTGCTATCGTGTTGTCTTTTGTGGAACTGCAAATTGCTTAATCAATTGGAAATTGTTCACTCGAAAGGAGTGAAAGGACAGAAATGTCAATCTGACAGCTGCCGGCAATGCTTAACGCGGCAGGACGGAGGAGCGGAAGTGCCGCCATTTAAATGAAAACTCTGCAAAAATGAAAGTTTATTTTCCATTCGATAAGTAAACGGCGGCGGGGCATGGGGATTGGGGCATGGGGCATGCAAGTTAATTCTCGAGCGGAGAAACCGTTACTGTGTCAATGTTGGCGGCAATTACAAATTGCAATTAATAAATGAAAATTAAATGCGGCAGTGGCAGTGGCGGCTGATTGAATAATTGCCTCAATGAGTGAGTGAATGATTGAGTGCATCAGTGAGTGAATGTTGAGCCGCCCGCTCAGGCCTTCTAAGCCTACGATATACGGCCAGCCGCCCCTGAACTACTTGGAACAGACACAGAGCCGCAGCCAGCAGCTAAATCCAAAAGCTAAAGCTAAAGCTAAAGGCTGTAGCTGTGTGGATATATCCACATATATATATGTGCATCTGTACATATTCAGTAGCCTCGTAGTTTTTTCATGGACTTCACATCATGTGGCAATCCAAAACAAGTGCGCAGTTCGTGTTTGCTCAGTGCGATGCGTTCTGGCAATGGGAATGTAGATGTAGATGGGAATGAAAATGTAAATGATAATGGGATTCCTCTGATTTGGGTTGTGGCTGCTTTCGATGCATCTCTCTCCGCTGAGCGCCTAATTTGTTGCCAATCAATCATCAGCATCGCAATCTCCCCCCGCAGAGATCGAGGGATCCATTGATCCAGAGATTCCAGAGTTCTTGTTGAACTTTGTCACCGCATGGGGCCTCCAGCAGCGAACCAATCACTGGGAATCGAATCTGAGAATGTTATGGAGCATCATTCCATCGGAAACTTCAAAAAAAGCAGCTGGTCGGGCACCTTTTCGGGCATTTCTGCGCTCTCATTTCCGTCACGGGGCGGGGAGTGGGGTCTGGGCGCTGATGATGAGCTAAAAAGATCGCATTTATCATGACTTGACAACTGATGAAACATATTCATGCCGCAGCAGCGGCCAGAGCAACAACAAAGGGCACTGTCAAAGACCCTCCCCTGGGGACCATCTTTCCCCTCCCTGGCCTGGGCTTTCCCCGGAGATGTTCTCTTTTAATGGCATGGCCATAAAAGAAGTATAAATCCGGAATGGAAATCCTTTTCCGAGCGAGAACAGCATCAAATTATTAAACATAAATTTCCGGCCTTTCATCTGTACTACGAATACATGAATCCATTCATGAATACATCCATGAATACTCGTGTATATACAAATCTCTCTCTCTCTTTCTCTCTGTGTGTGTGTGTGCACGTAATTTTCCGACAATTTATCATCTTTTTGTGAAATTGCTTCGATGACACACGAAACAACAAGAGCGTCAGAAGGACCCCCTGGGTCGGTTGGGTCGTTGGGTGCCCGCCTATAAATATTTCCTCCTCTCTAATTGTTTGGCAAGCATACCCGAATCCCCCCCCCCAATCCCGACCCAGTTCCACCATCCCCAGTCCTTCAACTTCTCCACAAAAGGGGTTCATCTTCCACGACAGAAGATGCTGCTCTCTGCTGGGATGGCAGGATCCTAATGAATTTACGCACACACGTCCGCAGTCCTCGTCCACGTCCTCGTCCTCGTCCTCGTCCTCGTCTGTGTCGCATAAATTTTCCTTTCTTCGCAGATAATATTTTACGTCGTCTGGTTGTCTCCTGCTGGCCTCGGTCCTTCTGTGGTTCCTTGCCTGCCTTCTGCTTCTTTATGTTGTTTTGTGTTGGCGGACAGTGCGCAAATTTTTGGTCTTTTGGCTCATAAATCATCAAATTACAACAATTGCACACTCGCTGCGCTTTTGTGTGGCTCGACAGTGGCGGGGGAAAACCAGAACCAGAACCAGAACCAGAACCAGGGACAAAGACGAGAATGAGAACAGGCACGAGACGTTGCCTTTTTGCCAATTTGCACGGACGACGAGGCAAAACATCTGTCCCCGTCCTTTGTCCTCGGTTCCGCCCACCTGCGCAATAAAAATTCCCATTTCCCTGTCCAGCAATTTTACATTTCCCAGCTGCGAACTGTGCACTAACCCTACTATTCTCTCTTTTCTAACTTTTGCAGATCCCCCTCGGAGCGGTCAGGGAAGGGATGTTGCGGCCAGTGGTTCGCAGGACCTCCGCTGCGTGCCCTCATCGCCGTCGTGGCCCTGGGCGGCGTGGCCTGCGCCCTGGGCGGTGCGGCCCTTGGTGCCACGGGACTGGCAGGTCCCCCCAATTCGCACCTCACCGCCGCCCTCTTAATGATTGGTGAGTAACCATTGCATAATATCGTAGGGGAGAAGCGGGCATTAAAGCCAGCGACCGCCTTTTGATGTCCGCTGATGTTTACACGACTCCAAGTCTCCGAACGAAAAGGTCTCTCTTGTTCGCAATTGTTGCAATTGTTACAATTACTTCAATTTTGTACCCTGTCCGCGGTCCGCGGTCCGTTTATTTCTTTCTTTTGCCACCCAAGAGGCACCTCTTTACCTCTAGCTGTGCCTATGCCTGTGTATCTATGACTGTCTCTGTCCGAGTCTCTGCTTCTGTGACCCAGTTTACAGGCCAAACAAACCTGCGACCAGACAGACAGACAGACAGACAGACAGCACACTGCCATGTGTCAATATTGCCAAAGCATTTAGTTCCGGCTGCGATTTCTTTGCATTGTTTGGAATGGACTTACCCAGAGCCAAAGCAAGTGTGTCCACCGCCACCAGGTGCCCCATTTGTGGAGAGATCAACAGGTGGCAAGGAGAACTCCCTCCATTCCGTTCCAATCCCTACTTCTAGGAGATTCTGGCCAACACAACTTCCTACTCATTCACTCATGAATCATTCATGAACGCTGCTGCTGCTCAGCTTACATAACCCCCAGACAGCGGGGCCAAGTGCAGTCGGTGCGACTGTGTGTGTGTTTCCACTAATCAATTGCTCGTAGTTTTGTGCTCTCCGAGCGTGACATTGCGCCATTTTCGGCGGCAATTACCCGAAAGTTTTTACATAATTTAATGGCAATCAAGCCAACCAGTCAGCAAATCTGCCACTGCCACTGTCGCTCGTGCGAGCATTACACGGCGGCGGCTACATACTCGTAATAGCGATAGAAACAGAAACAGAGACAGAGCCCCATCATGACAAAGTTGATGATGATGATGATGATGATGATTATTATGGGGCGAGGTCTATGGTCTCTTCGGCAGAGATGTCACAACCGAGGCCCACACAATTGTGAGCAGCTCATGACAATTTTCGCTAATAAAATCGTATGGCTATCCCGGGTTCAAATTTGCCATCATGACATGCTCCGTTGGCTCCGCAGCCACTTCCAACTCCTCCACAGCCCTGTCCTAGCCTTAAAGAAAGAAAAACAAATGAAATGAAAGTGAAAGTCTGCGGCCAGCCTGCCTGCCTGCCAGCCTGCCTGCCACATTGATTAGCCTGCAAGTTTGAGCTGCGAGCTGGGAGCTGGGAGCTGGAAGCTGTCTAAGTGAGTCGGTAATTGCAGCCACGCCCACTCGGACGAAGGCTAATTAAATCTGCAGCTAAATGGAAATATGAGACAGGAGGCAGTGTAGCGTCCATCCATCCATTTATCCATTTGTGGGGAGGCCTCGTACAAAACTCTAAAATTAAGTTTTCTTTTCTCTGTTTTTTCCCCGTTCATTTCGCAGGAGTTGGCGTTGTGCTGGTGACGGTTAGCGGTGCCGCTTGGCGGATGACGGCGCCTGGCGGTCAGAGCTGCCTGGGCTTGGGCCTGGGCACCAGCGTGGATCTGGGCCGATGCGGCCGACGACCGTGCAGCCGCGGAGGCGGAGCGCCGCACGGCCTGCTCTACCCCGAGTTCCAGCACCGACCACCGCCGCCCTCCTACCAGGCCAGCATGCAGGAATACCGTCTGAGGTGAGTGGTAGTAGTGTGGAGGTATAAATTAGCCGCCAGGACAGCGCCCGCTGCCGGATGTGGTCTGTGGTGGCTGCCACTCGCATGTCCTGGCGCAATTAATTGCATTATGCATAATTATGGACTGGCCAAAGGACTACTCCACGTGCCTATTCCACGACAAACCGAACCGCCTTTTTCCTGTCGAGCGGCATTAACCAGAACCGTTCTCAATCCGTTCTCTCCTTCTCCTTCTCTTTTTCCGCTTTTCGCAGACTTTTGCTGTTGGACCGCGATCGCCAGAACGGGGTGGTGCGTGGCAACTCGCCGCCGCCCACTTATCGATCTCATGCGGGCAGCCTGCTGAGGTAAGTACTTCCGTTTTCGTTACGCTCCCTGCCCCATGCCTCTGCCCCTGCCCCTGCCCCTGCTTCACCCGTGAGTTATTTGCAAAGTTTGGCGTCTGCCAAACCACAAAATGTTTTCCAGGCCAGAGAAAGGAGCACAAGGAGGCTGGCCACGAGGGGATCTGTGATGTGGGTCTCAGGACAGGACGGGGGGACAAAAGCGTTTGGCATCGGCATCGGCGTCGGCGTCCGTGGTTTGGCTTTGGCTCTGTGCGGTTTTCGAGGGTGTCAACATTGACACATCGCTTTCCCAGGGGCTCCAAAAGAGAGGGGATTGGGCGTGTACGGGCTCTGGGGTGGCACGATGAAAAGTTTCTGGGGCATTTTCAAAAAAATGTTCCGCTGCGTGGAACAACGGGATGACTTGAATCGGCGGCTTGTCTGGTGATGGAAGCAAACATTCGGCAATTGATTTGGAAACCAATTGAAGAGATAAGGCACCAACCGCTTGGCGCAATCCACATCCACTCGAAGCAGCACCCAGCTGCCCCTTCCCCTGCCCGGAAGACAGAAGCAATTTGGGTGGCAATTCAAACGACAAAGCATCGGGCTGGTGGGCCCCAGAAGTGGGCGGATAATTGTCGCCTGGAACGCCTAATGTCGGGGGGCTAATGAGAGAAGTGTACTTTTATTGCCTGCAAATTGTGGCCGCACAACGGAGGGAGCAGAATAAAGCTTAATTTTGTTAGAATTTCTTATGCAAATAATCCTTGAAAGTCTGCAGGGCAATTGCCTTGCAATTCAAATTCAAATTCAAACATATTTATGACAAATTAATTTACTTCAAATGACATCTACATCTACATCTACAGCTAGAGCGAGCGAGAGTGGAGAGGAGTGTGTGAAGCACTTGAATATTTATAGTGTGTTGTGTGCGTAATGCAAATGGAAAGTCAACAAAGCAGCAACAACTACAGCACGAGCTTGTCATCTTTTGGGGGGCTTTCCCGCCATGCCACAGAAGTGTAGGAAGCGGATGCGGATGTGGAAGAGCCAGAGTAGGGGCAGGCACAGGAAGTATGTCAAAAAGCAAAACTTATGCAAAGTGTGTGGCAAGAAATCACAGCATACTTTTAGGCGGGACACCTAAGTGTCTTGTCCGTCCGCCTGGGCGCCTGGGCGCCTGTCTGCCTCTCTGTCTCTCTGTCTCTTTCTCTGCCCGGGTGCGTATTCAAATAATGTTGTTCAGGGGAAAGAATTTCTGGGAAATTTTGCAAAATATTTACACACACGCGCGCACATTTGAAGAGCTTCTTCTCGAGCTGCATAACAAGCAGGCAGAGCCAGAGACGAGCCAGAGCTACCGGCCCGAGGGCATGGACAGGACATGGCCCAGGGATCACGAGCAGCAGCTCAATGCAGAACAAAACTTGGATCTAGGCTGTTGGCCAAGTCAATTAAACAAACAAAGAGGCAGGCGGGCCGAAAGTGCTGCGAAAATTGCCTGTTATGCACAGCACAGCACAGCACAGCACAGCACAGCAGGGACTTGAATAGAATGAATGGACTTGTGAATGGCGTGGAATAGGGTGGACCAGAATGGAGTGCTTGCTGCACAACAGAATAGATGGTATAGATAGATGGATGGGACACCATTCCCATAGCACCATTCCTCCCATGCAAATGACTTATTTTCCTCTCTTTCCTTTATTTACTGCAGTTGCTTCTTTGTCGGAACAATTAAATGCCATTTTACATACTCCAAATTGCTTCATACAATTTGTGCAAGTTTTTGGGATTTTTGAGATATTCCAAAGTCCACCACGCCCCCTATAGCTAGATAGGTACGTGTGTACATAATCGTATAGGTCTCATAAGCCAGCTTTAGCCAGGTTGGAAAGGAAGCGAAGGGAAGTGGCGGTGGAGTGCGGGTGCGGGTGCGGGGCCATTATGTGCAGATGAGCGTATGAGTGTTGACTTTTGGGCCCTGGCGACTGAAGTGTGAAGTGTCTGTGATTGGGGTCTGCCCGACAGGCAGCAAGGCAGTCAACTCCCCACTCGTACTCGGGTGGGTATGCCACGTGGCGCATGGCAACAATTGCCACAGCGGCCTTTTGTTATTTAAATTGACAAAGATGAGAATATATATGTATGTACATATGTATGTTTTGCGACTGAGATAAAGATAGAGACTGATATTTGAATAGGTTTCGTCCTTTTGCAGTCCTGTGCACTCACAGATAGACAGGCAGGGCTTAGAGCTCAGAGCTCAGAGCTCAGAGCTCAGACTCTGGTCGTGGCCCCCTCCCTCTCATGCATGCAAATTTTGTGCATTTGGTTAACATATTTGCCATCTTCTTATGGCCAAAAGGGGCAAACACAATACCGAATTGACTTTAACTCATGCTGTGTAAATAATTCATGCATTTGATTCACTTACTTCCAGGGCCCCACTGACCACACTTCGTTCCGGAATGGGTGGAGGAGGCGCTGGCGGCACCATCAGCAGCAGCATGGGAGGATCCGAGTATAGTCTGCCGCCCAGCTACCGGTCGCGCAACGCCACCCCCGCAAGCTTCGTGTGTGGCGAGCGGAGCATTGAGACGGCGCCATCGGGCAGGCTGCTGGCCAACGAGGACCTCCATCTACCGGAGCCGTCGCTGGCCGAGCAACTGACGAACTACACGGCACTGCAGTCGAACACGTTGCTTACCTCGGCCATTGTGGAAATCGAGCGGGACACACCAACATCCACATCCACGTCCACAGCAACGAAGGGTAAGGATCTGGTGACCATTGTGACCATATCGCAGGCAGACAGCGACAGCCCACATCTACACCCCCAGAGGCATTCAGCTGGAAAGACGACGCACAGCCAGACCCAGACCCAATCACCTGGCCAGGCCAGTGCACTCGATCAGATCGATATATTGGCGCATCTGTAACCGAACGAATAGGTCCAATGTCATCGGTCCTCTGTCCCGAGAGAAGTTGATTAGTTAGTTTTGTTCGATTCAACTCGTTCGTTCACTCGTGTTAACCCAAAGGTATTTATTTGTACGGAACTAAAGCTCTGCTGCTCCTAAATGAATAATGTAATTCGTACTTGCTAATCTGTAACTGTAACTGTAATTGTAACTGTAATCCGTACTCGGTAACTGTACTGTGTAAGCGGCATTTAGCTGTTAAGATGTTTGTTGTACTTGAATGTGTTGAATTTATTTTTGTAAGCATACGGAGATGCGCAGAGTAGGTATTACGAATTCTAGATACATGCAATTATACATAAAAACACAAATACATACATGTACCCATTGAAAGTATTAACATATTCCAAAAGAAAAACGAAAGAAAATGTTAAAAAAAAAGAAGATACAAATCTCTAAAAGATGCCTCGACTAGGAGCGAAGCTAGCGTGCACTGCACAGAGGACAAGCGGATAGTACCAGAGTTCTACCACGAGTTTATCTTGTTGTCCGAAAGGTAGTTTATATCTGATATGTTATGCAGCCTGTAAAGTGTACCAATCTATGGAGAACTCGACCCACTAATGAACTGTAAATACGCGAGAGAGATTTCGAGTGCATTTCTAGCATCATCCCAGACCCCCCCTTACGCCCACTCAAGTAAACTATTAAACAAAGAGATAATATATATAAATATAGATGCATGTACAGATACATTCTGTGTATCTACTGGATATATGCGGCCAGTGCATATATCTGTGTAAATTCGCAACGGAACGCTACGGTGACAAAAATTTGGCGCGCATTTTCGGAAAACACGAATATCCAACTGAATACTGAATACTGAATACTCGTGTTTCGATTCGATCTGATTTCGATTTCTGAACAATTCGCGTTTCAAACAAATAGTAGGTAAAGCTACCCCATAATGATATGTTAAATTACGACTAAATTGTAGCTGCTGTGCTATTAGTAGTGGGCTGCGTGGGTGTGTCCTGCCGGGCCCCTGTCAAACATCCCGACACATCCTGCACGAGTACAATTCACACGCTACACGCTACACCCCACATACAACACACACACACACACACACACACACACACTAACTTAAAGTCCTTTCTGTATTGTGCGGGGCGAAGTAAACTAAACATGAAATAAAAGAACCCAACAAATCGTTGAAAAATGCCACAAAAACCTCAAATTGTTTTTCTTTCTCACACTCCACGGCACAGCCATGGCCAGAAGTCCTTTGGCCAAGCAAACACACATACTCCCACGTCCCGATCCTGCTTAATCTAGCGTAAATTTTGTTGGCTTGGCATCGTCAGGCCTGCGATGCTTTGTAGTCGCCACAAGCGGTCCCAAATCGGGCCGGGCCGGGGCGGGGCGTGTGGATGGCGTGCAGCGGGAGTGAGTTCCAGCGATTAACACCAAACCCAAAAATGCGAAAAAGAACTCCCAGCCAGAGCATCCCACTCACACCTCCTACCGAAACACCAAGATATAAAATACCAGGCTCAAATGAAAACAACAAAAATTGGTTAAGCATGAAATTGCGGTAGAAGTGCGTGCTTTTGGGTACACGGCCAACAATTGGTCCCAGCCTCGTCTTCTCACTATGTGCCTGTTTATAGAGACTTTAATGTCTACATATATCTAGGAGCATATCTTTTCAGCACTTACAATTATTACTTTCAACCCCACGAGTGTGCAATTAGTTGCATAAGACTTGTAGGTATTAAACGCGAAAAAGATTTCGAAATTTATTCATTTGCTGATCATGACAATTTACACTCAAATTATGGATAATTTACAACATACATTTTTAAATAATAAATATGCGACTCCCTGCTGACAACCTGTTCTGACTGTGACTCTGACTCTGCTTGCGACTCTGTCTCGCCTCCCTGGCCCTGGTCTCTGGTGCCAATCGAATTCGATATTGGAAATCTCTCGCGCTTTGCGATCTGTTAGCGTTTAGTTGGGTTGATCAACAGTGTTCGGTGGTAGATATCTCGATTTGTCGCTTGAACCAAGTAAGTTAACGCTGGCGACAGTACATAAATATTTAGTGTAAGGTTTAGGGTAAGGTAAAGTTGGTTCGGTTATGGTACTTGATGCTTGAATAAATAATAGTTCATTGTGTGTGAGGACGTAGTATTTTGCTAGCTAATTCGATTTCGTCTCGTTTTGCAGTTTTTCATACAGATTTGATTTTCCGATTAGAGGTTTGATTCACGTTGATATTTGATTTGATATTTGATATGACGCGTGTGGGTCGGGTCGTTGATGGTTTAAAATTAGGATAACATTTGTGCGGCAAAATTCAAACAAATAGAAATAATAATAATTACGCATTAGCGCTCACACAATTCGTCAAAGATTGCTCTTGATTATCGTTGATTGTTGGTTTGATTGATTGTTGATTGGTGGTTAGTGTGCGTGATCCCTGAAGTCAAACAAAATCAGCTGGCCGCTGGCCGCTGGCTTAGCGCGCGTGATTCTTGCAGAAGGGACGTCCGCCCTTGTTGTAGAAGCTCTGGCCCTCCAGGTTCTGTTTGCAGTACTGTTGAAGATGCAAGAACAATTATCAGACAGCTCATCGGTCATGGTGTCTCCTCTGGGAGGGTACTCACAGTGCAGTTAAAGCATTGGCTATGGTAGTTGTGGTTGAGGGCCTCCACCCATCTGTCGCCGGCTTCAACGGGGAAACCGCAAGCGAAGCACTTGGTGGTGAACAGTTCGTTCCAGTCGGCCTCGCAATAGGCGTTGCCGTCCTCCAGGAAGAAGGGCCTGTTGCCGAAGACCTTGCCGCACTGGCCGCAGGTGAAGCACTCCGGATGGAAGTGCTTCCCAATGGCGTTCAGGCAATCGCCCTGAAACAAAAAACATTTGTTGTAGGGATCAGCATTTCAAGTGGCTTTAGCTGCGGACTCACCTTGATCTTGCCCGCACACTTGCTGCAGGTGGGGGCCAGATACTTCTCGAAGCAGTACTCGCAGTAGAGGTCGCCCTTCTCCTCAACGAAGCCGATGTCCTGCAGGGGACGGCGACAGTTGCCGTTCACACAGATGAAGTGATCGGGGCACCAGATGCGGCCCAGCGCCGTGATGAAGGGTCCTCTGCAAAAGGGGAAGTCTCGTGTTAGTTGAGAATCAATTGAAGCAAAAAGACATCGAACAAACGAAGAGCAAGGAGCAAGCGTGGACAGGGATACTTACGAGGTGATCTCTTTATTGCACTGACAGCAAATTGGGCGCTTACCATCCTTGAGCAACTGACTTACGGCCTTCTCGTTCTCCTCGGACATGGTGGACTGCCCCTCGCTGTGCGGGCCCAAGGCCTTGACACTCACATTGAAGCTGGGAGCAGCACTTCCCTGACTGACCTGCTGTGCGCTGCTGTTTGCCGCAGATGGATGGGCAGTGGGCACTGTATTGGAGCCCTGCTGCTTGGGCTCGATGTAGGATCTACGATCGGCTGCATGGGTGGCACCGGTGCGCCTTAAATTGTTCCTGAATGCCACTGGCTCGGGTGTCTGCTGGGGCGTCACCTTGCCATTATCACAAATATCGAGGATCCTGCTCATGGGATGCTGGGCAGGCAGCTCCACCTGCAGCTGCTGTTCGACACGCGGCACCTGCGGCTGGGCCTTCTGCGCGCCCATCTCTGCCATGGACTCCTTTTGCGGAGCCAGAGCCACCACGGACTGCAGGGCCACCGGCTGGGTGGGATCAATGTTCTTGAAGTCGTCGAGATCCAGTCGCTTTCGCACAATCATCGGACTCTTGGACAGGTTGGAGCTGCTGTTGCTGCGCAGGCTCAGGCTGCTGCCGGCGTGCGAGAGAGGAGCACTCGACCCGTTCGATCCACTGCCGGCCAGACGCGCTTCCAGCATGCTGGAGATAATTTTTCCCGCCTCCTGCATGAAGGCATTGGTCTTGTCGCCCATATTGATCCTGCCAATGGACTCGGCCAGCATGGCAGTGGCATCCGCATCCGCATCCGCATCCGAATCAGCAATCTGTGGCTGTTCGCCTTGGCTGGCTGGTAAGTCAGTTGCTTGCTGGACTGGTCGGGGCAGCGTGGCATGGTTGGGGTTTGCATGCGGATTAGTTTGCTTGACGGCGGCTGCAAAAAACAAACGAAGAAAGAACAAAGGGCGAGCGGGTTAGGTCAGAGGCATGCAAATTAGTTGGCGGAACTTAATCTTGGTTAATAAAACAATCAAACAAATGGAACAAAGAGGCATCAGAGAGCCCAGAAAGTGGGTTCGATCTTATCCCTCGATTATAATAAAATAACAACGGGTTAGAGTAACGGGAGAACATCAACAGGGAACGAACATCAACAACAACGAGTTGGGTGGGGGATGCTCTTCACCTGATCTGCACGTTGCAGCTGTTGCACAGAGGGATGCGGACACCCGGTGCGGCGGCCTGGTTGAGAATGCCGCGTCCGCGCTTGGGCGCCGAGGTGGCCCCGAAGCCACCTTTGCCGTTCTTGACGCCACCACCTGCGGAACCATCGACATTAGAGTTCAAGTTCAAATCGCCCAAGTTTGGCGGAAAGGAAGCGGGCGCCGAAGTTGGCGCCGATGCTGCGGCAGCGATGATTGACTTGGGCGCTGCTGAAGCTGGAGCTGGAGCTGGCGCTTGAGCTGTGATGGAAGCGATGGATGGGCGAGAGGCCAGATTAGGTTTGCTGTTATTGCCATTTCCAGGGACGTTGCTCCTGAAGGCCGAGCAGGCCTGGTTATTAGTCGTGGTAGTAATAGCAGAAGCTTTGGTTAGACTGGCTGATTGCGCTGATCTGGAGGCGGATGCTGATAGAGATGATGATGCAATTGCGGATGCTGATGATAGCGATGAGGAAGTGGCTTTCGTGCTGCTCGAGAAAGCGCTCTGCGTGCGCTGCTGCTGTACCACCGAAGACGAAGTTGAAGAGAATGCGGACAGCTGCTGTTGCTGCTGCTGCTGCTGCTGCTGCTGCTGCTGCTGGGTTAGGAATCCAGGCGGGGGAGCCACCAGCTTGTTGGCCAAGGGCGTGGCTCCATACCCGGGCACAATGGACTCCACCGGTGCCGGCTTTATTGGGAACTTCGTGTCGAACGTTGGAGATCGCAGCTGCGGGAAGTTGCTCTCTCCCATGGCGGAGGCACGAGCACTGATGGCCTGCGACTGGCTGGTCAGGCTGGTGATCTCCTGCTCCAGGCCCGACAGCCGTCGCGCTTGATTGGCCACAAATCCCGTCTTTCCATACGAGGAGCGACGGTCCGTGGACTCCGACTGGGACTGCGACTGAGACACCGATTGCGACTGCGACCCAGTGCGAATCTCGATGGTCTTGGCACTCTGGGTGCGCTCAAACTCTTCGGTG